TACCCAAACTGGGAGCTGATTCCACAACAGAGGAGTCTGACAACTGAATGCTCTGCCTCTGATTCTGAACCACAGACACAACACTTTGTTCTTGTTCAGCTGATTCACTCAGTACAGCACATACAGTATGGGACATTCATGCTCCGCAGAGCAGCCACCGAACTGGAGACTAACCTGCTTCACTCTAGTGCACGGTAGAGCCGGCAGAAAGCACAGAACGAGGAACTGAAGGGGCTGTCACATCCAAACAATAAAACCGAATGAAAGCGAGCAGAGACGACCAGCCAGCTGTGGCACAGACTCACAGATACTCCTTTATATAGAGCCCATGTTGTTATAAGACCTCTGCTGACATAAGTCAGGGAGGGTCAGTACAGTTTTGCCAACAGTATATTAAAAAAAACAAAATATCTGTATCTTAGTAATGAAAGACATTCGAACCTCTTTTCCATTAAGTTCCTATGCTGTAGGTCAGGGGTTTCCAATCCTGGTCTTTGAGGGCCACAATCCTGCATGTTTTAGACGTTTCCCTCTCCCAACACACCTGATTCAAATGATCAGAATCGCTATCAGGCTTCTGCAGAGCTTGATGATGAGCTGATCATTTGAATCAGGTGTGTTGGAAGAAGGAAACATCTAAAACATGCAGGATTGCGGCCCTTGAAGACCAGGATTGGAAACCCCTGCTGTAGGGCTTCTATTCTAATTGTAGTAAATCTAAACTGTGAATCCAGGTGTATAGGGGACACACAGCGCACAAGGAGGACAGGCTGGTCATCTAGAGCTTTGTCTGGACTCTTTTGCTCCTTGGATGGAAAAGGAGGAGCTCAAGATTAGAGAATAAGGCATCACACAATCAAACCCACCGTAGGTTTGAGTGTATGTGTAGGAACCCTTATCCAACATTTCCTGAAGGAACGTCACCTGTTACCACAATAAATGTCAAATAAATGTCTCCAATAAGTCACTGAAATGGCAGGACAGCTCAGTTCTGGCACCACTGATNGAATTATTTGTCTGTTTCTCTGAATTCAGACACATTCTACCTTCAATAAATGTGCCTTTCAGTATTATATAGCATTTGTCCTCAAGTTCATTTGTTGATTAAAGAACGTTCAGTACAGAACACTGGACCTTGAGTGATGTTTGCTGAACATATGTGCAATCAGGTCTGTGCTGTTCACATTTTGTGACTTATTCTTTGGCTTATTCGTGGTGTTGCTGTTTTCTGGCAGCTCTTGTTCACAGACTCAGAATGTGATTAGGTCAAATAAAGCGAAAATGTCAAAGATTCAGGTTGAAATACAGCAAGTGATCTGGTGAGCAATGCTCTGAGGTGTTTAGCAAGAGTTGGTTTGAGTTCATAAGCGGTTGCTGTGTGAGCTGAAATTAAATAAAACATGCAGGAAATATAACAGAGCATCACATTTATAAAAAAAAAAAAAGCTTCAGAGACTCATTTCTTAAAATCCCAGCTCTTGTTCTGTATAAGACGCAGATTAAATAAAGCAGCAGTAGTTTTAAAAGTGTCACTCGAGTGCGTTTGCATCGAGTATCTTGAAAACTTTTGCAGCGACTATGGAGAGAACACTGTGTGGCAGAACGCTGGTAAAACAACGTAGCAGTTAACAGGAGAGCTAACAAGCTAGTTAGGTATTTATCTGTCCAAATGCATAATACAAGAGAACACATGCTAGCTGTAACAGACAGAGTACAGTGGTTCGGATATCTTGTAGCAAAGTATGTCCAAAAAAACAAAAGAAAGCCTATGTTCAATACAACAAAAAACTGAAAATTAGATTTTGTCCCGTAGCTGTGAAGAAGTTTCCATCCATATGCAGAGAACTGTACTTCCTGGCATTGAACACTAGGATGAATAGTCTGTATATTACATCTAACTGTGGATAAAAAAGAAGTGTCAGAAGTATTTTAAACCTCCATCAGACTGATCTGTGTGAATTTTCGGTATGATCTCATGGTGTGGGCAATTGATGCTTCCTCCAATATCAGAAAGGCATTTTATTACAAACAAGCAGTCCACAGCATAGTGGCTTATTGTCTGCTTTAATGCTAGACATGGGAATAGATGGAGAACAAGACCAACAATGCACAAGAGAACAATAAACGCTTTTGAGATTGGTGAGGCCAGTGACGGCAGATTAGAGGCTCCACATCCAAAGATGACTGTAGAGAAGACAAAACACAAACTCAGGAGAAAGAAGATACACACCTAGTGAAATGCAGCCGTGGAATGAAAATGTATTGAGAGCTAAAGAGAGAAAAGAGTAAAGGAGAGGTGCTCAGCGCATCATGGCAGCAGTCTAGACCTACGGCAGCATAACAAAGGGATTGTTCAGACGACCTGGAGACATCCCTAACTATAAGCATTAAGGAAAGTTTTTAAAAGTAGAGAGGGTGTCTGCCTCCTACCCAAACTGGGAGCTGATTCCACAACAGAGGAGTCTGACAACTGAATGCTCTGCCTCTGATTCTGAACCACAGACACAACACTTTGTTCTTGTTCAGCTGATTCACTCAGTACAGCACATACAGTATGGGACATTCATGCTCCGCAGAGCAGCCACCGAACTGGAGACTAACCTGCTTCACTCTAGTGCACGGTAGAGCCGGCAGAAAGCACAGAACGAGGAACTGAAGGGGCTGTCACATCCAAACAATAAAACCGAATGAAAGCGAGCAGAGACGACCAGCCAGCTGTGGCACAGACTCACAGATACTC